ACACACACACACACACACACACACACACACACACACACACACACACACACACACGCACACACTCCTCCCACTGGTGACTGAGGCTTGTTTCCTAAACTCACTCGACCAGAGTATCTGCTGCTGAGCGTCGGTAGCGTGATCGACGCAGCACAGAGGAACGTTTTTACTCCGCGTCATGTTTTCTTCTGTTTTTAAGGCAAAAACTCTGCAGCTTTTATTTTTGTGTCTCTTTCCTCTGACTGTGACTGCAGTAACAACAGGACATGAAAACGGTAAGAACACTAATGCTGAGACAGTAAAGCTCTTCTACTGATTTAACACAGCAGCTAGATGTATCCAAAATGGTGAATTATCCCTTTAATGTTGGTGTTGATTCATTTTCCCCACTCATGGTTCAGAACTGTCAGTGATGAGGCAAACAACAACTAGATTTAAAGATACAAGTGTTGAGTGTTTCCTCACTGCGGTCCGAGCTGTCCCGTCACAGTGGAGAGAAACTGAAATATCTGCTAAACAACAATGAAGGAGACGTAATTACTGCTTCAAACAAATTCAGTTCTCAAATCACCACGATGTTGGTGTGAAAACTCAAGAAAGACATTTCTTTCTACTAGATATTACTAAGAATTGGTCTTCTGCTATTAAACACAGATGTCGCAGGTCATGCTCAGCACACTTCAGTTTAACAGCCTTCTCTGCAGAGGAAGGAGAGTGACATTATCTTCCAGTGTTACTGTTTGTTATCGTGATGACAGCAGGAGGAGTTCAGGCACGTCGGCTCGTCACAGCAAGCTCAAACACAGCAGCTGGTCTCTGAGTGGACTCTTCATCCTTTTCTGTGAACCATGACTTCAGACTCAGATATGCTCATTTTCATTACCATCACTCAACACGTCCCAAACCACCTCAGGGTGAGCTGAAGGTTAATGCCTGATGATGTAATAAAGAACCACAGAGAGGTCACTAAACCAGAAACTACCTTTAAAATTCTGTCCGTAAAACTTATGTTTAATATGAGAAACGAAGGGCAGTACTGGTGGAGTCTACCTCTCACTGGGAGCACGTCTGACTTACTGATGATACTGACCTGGCTCTCAGTGTGACTGTACAGGGATGGAATAGGCTGGAATAACAGGAAGATATCCTGTAACCCAAATAGCTCCTTTTAAATTGAACCACCTTCCTCCAGTCTGCCGGTCCGGCACCCTCCCCGGCTTCCATGCACTGTTGCAGAGGCGTGTCAACCAAGACACCCCCACAGCATGCAGAGCCTGCATCTGAGGATGAAGCTCATCCACCCCCAGAGTCCTGCAACCTGACTGACCTCACCCCTGAGTGATGGATGAGTGTGAATGCTGAAACATCACCCTCCTTGTGCTGTAGCTTCATGCTGTGTTCACAGGTGCAGCTCCGAAGCCGTTTGTTGGGATCCTGAACATCACGGAGTACAGGGTGCAGCTGAGGTGTGAGGTCAGAGGTGCGTCTCCGAAGCCTAGAGTAGAGTGGAGGGACAGCCATGGAAACATCCTTCGTGCTGAGGAGCCACAGGTGTCACACAGAGACGGCCGCTATGACATCACCCTCCTCACCACGGTGACCAGGACAAACACCAACCTCTTCCACTGCGTGGCCACACAGGAGGAGATCGGCCATGTGACTGAAGAAGAGATCCACGTTCCAGGTGAGGCCACAGACTCTTTGATTGCTAAAGGTTATGATCAGTGTGTTTAGAAACTATCTTTGTAACAGCAGGCTTCTGTAATGTGTTTCAGATCAGCTGTTCGAGTCCTGCGATGGAGTCGGTGTGATCGTTTCTGTATTTGCTTCTGGATTCTCTGTCGCTGTGTTTGCGTCTCTGTTGCTGTTCTCTGCTTGTATTAAATGTTGTTGATAACAGACAGCAGATACTTTCATCTGCCTTTTTTATTCTCTGCTCTTCTGTTTCCTCTGGTTTTAAGGCTGATATGTTATTTATACCAACATTGTATTAATGAAAAATAAAGTTGGGTAAATGATGGCGCAGTGGATAATGTGGATATGGATGTGGATAAGGTTTTAAAACATGCTAAACTGCTTTAAAAGTGTTTAAACATCACAGTTCACATTGAAACACATTCATGTTTTTATACCGACTGCATTAAAAATTAGTCTCTGCTCATTGTTGTGTTGAATCCTGATATCAGAGCTGTATTTATAATGGCCAGATGCAGGGTGGTGGACTGATCCCCGGTGGCTAAAACTGGTTTTTGGTATATGAATATCACCTCTCTGATTGGGAGGGAGCCTAACAGATACAGGCTCGCCTCAAGGCTTGGGTTCAGGAACTCTCTGGAGCAGCGGTCTCCAACCTTTTTGCGCCACGGACCGGTTTATGCCCGACAATATTTTCACGGACCGGCCTTTAAGGTGTCGCGGATAAATACAACAAAATAAAACTAGTACCGGTACCGAAAAAAAGAAGATTTATTCATAACACATGTGAAAAGACCAGGAAAACCGAGTTAACGATAACAAAATAACGCTGAAAACCGATAAAAACCCTGAAAACTATACACTTCACACCTGAGCCTCAACTCTCGCGGCCCGGTACCAAACGACTCACGGACCGGTACCGGTCCGAGGCCCGGGGGTTGGGGACCGCTGCTCTGGAGTGAAAGGGTGGGGGAGGGCGTGCTTGTATCACCCTGGTTAGGTGCACGTGAGCTGGGGTTTTCCTACAGGTTATACTGGAGGTCCTGAGACGCAGTGTTGATTATGTCTCTTAGCTGGCGTGGGAAAGTCTCTGTGTCCTTCCAGAAGAGTCTGTGGGATATTTTGTGACGACATCCAGCAGTGATGGAGGCTGTTTATAATGAAGTGTGATGATATACAATAAATAAAAACACAGTATTTACCCACAGGAGCTGTGTGAATCCTGAGTGTGTTTTCAACATGCTAACTATGCTAAATCTTTGATCACTGTTGTGCATGTTTCTCATCTTTAATAATCAAACCTAGAAGTGAAAGGACAGCCTCTGAAATATGAGAACTGTGTTTAAAACTGTCTGTAATTCTAAAACGGTTCAGACTTAAGCTGCTCAGCAGGCGTCTCTTAAGTAATGAGGCGGCTCAGCTGCTGCGTCAGCCTCTTATAACTGTCCACATTACAAAAACTTGCAGGGACGACTCTTTGGGCCACGAGTCGCTGCTCGTTTGAACACCTTTGTCAGACAAACAGCAGCAAAGTGAGAGACAGCAGCAGGCCACACAGCTCCACAGCTGTGGATGATTCAGGACACAAAGCACCTGTGGATCTTTTCTCGCCTGCTGAGGTCCTAATTAAACACAGCGTTCAGGTTTACATGTTTTCTGTGGGGTGAGCGGTGTGCAATGCAACAAAAAGAAAATGACGACCACACGACCCTGCTGTGAGAGTCTAATCCTGCTGACTCCACTTCAGGCTGCAGCTGGTCTGACTCAGTGTTCCTGGTCCTGGTTTAAGTGACCGTTCAGGTCTCAACATCTGCAGAGCAGGTAAAGGCTGATGTTAGAGTCCAGCAGCAGGATGAGATCCTTCCTTGGAAGCAGCTGAGTGTTGAGATTATGTTTATGTAAACCAGCTGAAGGTAAAACAGTGTTCAGTTTGAGGGTGACCTTGGGGTCCTTAGGGACTAGTAGAGCTCTATACAAATATAGGCCATTTACCATAAACTGCACATGCTTACAGCCACCACTGCCGCTGTGCACTCCTGGTAAATGTGATGCTGTTCTATGAAAGCGTTCGTACGCTTTGACTTCTCGTCCAACCGGCTCAACAGACGAAAGCATAAAAAGAGTCATTGTTTATGTTTCTGCTTCCAGCTGCCTGCCAGCTGTGGTTTTCATAACAGGAAATATCAAAGTTATAAAAGGTTTAATGCACTGAGTGCTGTCACACTGAGTGCTGTCACACTGAGGGCTGTCACACTGAGTGCTGTCACACTGAGGGCTGTCACACTGATGCGACACGCAGACACTTGACATGTTAACCACGTACTGGATTTGACAATCTGACACTCACTGGTAACTCTTTCATTTTCAGATGAATTTACAAGGACAACAACCCGTGAACCTTTTTGCTGCCTCACTAACTGCGAGGTTTGATTTTCCAGCAGTGGAAGTCAATACTGACACTAATGAACTCACTGAAAATCCTCATAAGATGCAAGAGAACAGGACGGGAATCTTTAAGGGTCTCATCGTCGCTTGACTAAAGATTTTCACACATTTTATAAAAAGCCAGAGATTTTTAACACCACATAACGACTACAACCCTGACTGCACAACGATGACCCTGAAATAATGAAGATGATGGTAATAATAATGAAATGGCTAACCCAGAGTCTGCACCTGAATTTAATTGTGAGTCTCGGGGAGATCATCGAGGACAAACCCCGGATACGAACAGGTCTGTAACATCAGGCGCTGGTGTACTGAAGACCTAAAATGCTGCCTGTGTGAGCGAACAGAGGTCACTAAATCTGACCGTGACCTGTTTGGACCCCTCAGGTGATCAGTGTTTGATTAAACACACTGATCATAAGAGGAGTGATGCTTGTGAGCTGTGGACAGACAGATGATGAGCTTCTCCATGACATAAGCTCGGGGATCACTCAGTCAGGTGAGCAGTTGTTCACAGATTTACAGATTTAATTATTCAGATCTACAGCTTGGTGTGTAATCAGTCAGATTAAGTCCTCACGTGTAGCACTAACAGCAGGTGTGTTTCAGTCCTACCACGGACGCGTGAATCAGTGCCGTCATCTGTGGAAGGTGTGCTGGTCGAGCAGGAAAGGAAGAAGATGTTCGTGGAAGTTCATCCAGTCAGTGCCAAGAACTCTGCTGAAACACGTGTAACAGTGCAACACAACGTTTGGATCTGATCATGCCCAGAACTAACAGGTCAGCAGTTACTCAAACCGCACCTGTAATGCTTCAACATTTACCGTGCTCACAGCATATCCATTCACTGTGGACCCCTCGCTGATCAGTGTGGGCTGTAACAGTGACCCCGGGTGCAAAAGGGTGCGTTCACTGGCCTTTTTTCTGGGTTTTCCTAATCAGCGAACACTGACGTCCATCCTTTATCCTGAGCTTATCTGGGTTATAACAGCTCTGACTGTCTGTGTAAGCTCAGGTCAGGTCACGAGTTTGAAATGAAGGGCACGGGACTCCTTTGGGTTCATCAAGCTGTTTCATTTTATCCCGAGTCCCAGGTTTTTAACCCCTATAGAGGAGATCTCCCCATGGAGGGGTTCCTGAGCGTATGAGACCCATGCTGGAGGCTAATGAATCTAACTGTGGGTAAAATGAAAATCAAGGTGGAATAAAGCCGTGAGTCATTAAAGAGCTTCATGAGGAGCAAGAGAAAAGAAGTTGAGCTTCACAAACACAGTGTTTGCTTCACGTTTACTTTGTTGGCATCTGGTCCCCTGTTATGTTGCAAGATAAATATGATGACGCACACTCTTTACAGCAGCCAGGACTGGTTGGCAGCTCCATCACTGCTGTCTCTCCTGCTTCAACCACCAAACATCAGCAGATGTAGTTTGGACTGACAGTTGTTCAGGCTGTAGGCTGTTGTGTAGATAAACTGAGTCTGCCTCTCTGTGTGTGTCTGTGTTTGCGCTCATTGTGATTTATCTGCTTATGGCCGTGAGCCCACAGCTCCTGAAGCAGGACCGCGCACGCTTAAAGCCGCCACTCCCACTACGAACTTCTGGGAAATGTGGCGCAGCTGCTTTGTTTTATCAGTGAACTGCAGGTCTTTGAAAGTCGAACCTGTTCATCAGAAAAAGGATACAATCGTGTTACTGAGAGCTGCGATTTCACAGAAAAGTTGTGATGAAAGTTTTAATGTGCATGTGAATACTTGCTGAGTGAGTCTGCGCTGTTTCTACTTTCAGAGTTAGGTGTCTCTCACACACACACACACACACACACACACACACACACTGACAGTGAAGACTTGTTGGTTCCTGCTGCAGCCTGTGTCCGACCATCTCGGTGTGCGAGCCTTCCCAGGTCTCAGGTTTTGGTCTCCGGTTTGCAGGAACTGCTCCGACTTTATTTGGTGCTTTAACTGCAGAGATTTCACCTCCTAACCAGCTGCTGCCGTTCGGATCACGGGGAGGAACAGACTATTCAGCATCATGTTTTTAGCGGAGCTTTTATCTTTGTGCGTCTTTCCTCTGATGATGTTTGCAGTAACAGCAGGACATCAAAACGGTAGGAAATCCTCAATAACTCTGATCATTTCTCACAGAGTCTCCCTGATTCTGTGCTCTGACCTCCTTTATAATTTATACCAGCTGTACATGTCTTCAGTACCTTGAATCCAGACTATTGTTTCCCATTCATGTAATTAAAATGTGATGGCGTGCTGTGAACTGCCTGCTCTCACAGCAGTTTGTGGATCCAGCTGCTCCACATGTGAACTGACCAAGTGAAAAAACTCACCTACAGTCAAAGACACCGGACATAATCTATGGTTTGTGTATAACGTTAGACGTTTGTTCTAACATTTGTTTTATGATGAAAGTTTTCAAGGACTTGATTCTGTGATCGTTCCCAACGATGTGACGGGATTATTTACATTCATTTCATGTTCTTCTGTTAAGATCGGTGGGTTTAAACAAGTATAAGAAAATAATTCAAACTTTAATCTGAAGTGACTCACTGGTCACTTTATTAGGTACATTGTTCAGCTCTCACTCAATTCTCAAATCACATTAGCCTTTCTCATTGTTTCCACACACGTCACTGCACCTTGAGGCGAATGTTGTTGTGATTTTATATGAATAAAATTGAATTGAATTGAATGAACTTCTCATCAGAAACAGATCCTGATCCATCAGTTTCCTGAATACTTACCAGCATCACATTTGTGCTTCCAGTCAAATCACTTTAAACTTCTGTGTGACAGAGAGCAGCTGTCAGTGTTAGCGCTGAAACTGCCTCTCAGAGCAAAGCAACATGAACACGTTTATAATAATGTCACACTATTAAGCATCATTAAGGTCATTCATTGTTTATACGGCATACTCCTCTGTAGCATGTCATGAATACAGATTGTTTTCTGACTATGATCATTACCACAGATGAATAATCACATCTGTAATTAGCAGTGTTGGGTAAGTTACTTTAAAATAGTAACTTAGTTACATTACTAGTTACTTCTCTCAAAAGTAACTCAGTTACTTCAAGTTACTCG